CGCACCATCCTCTCCGTCACCTCCACCGGAAACGAATCCCCCAGCCTCTTATCCACCCACCGCCTCAACCTCCCCTCCACCGCCGCCGTCTTCTCCTCTCCTTCCCCACCGCCCACCGCCTCCCTTGCTGTCTCAATCACCGAGATCAGCCTCTGATTCCCGCTGCTCCGGTCGAACCTGTACCTCACCGGCTCCTGTCCGGTCATCAGTTCCAGAATCACCACCCCGAACGCGTACACGTCCGATTTCTGCGTGGCCAGTCCGCTGGCCCTGAACTCCGGCGACATGTACCCCCTCACCCCGTCGAGCTCCGCCCCGCCCCCCTCCGTCTCGCCGCAGAGCTCCGCGGCCCCGAAGTGGCAGATCCGGGCGTTGAGCGATGGGTCTGCGACGAGGATGCCGCTGCTCTTGACGTGCTTGTGGACCATGTCGATGCCCAGCCCCGCCGTGCTGTGGATGTAGTCGAGGCCGTGGGCCACATCGGTGGCGATCTGTATGCGAGACATCCAATTGGAGAGAACCGTGAAATTAGGGTTCATTTTGTTCCGCAGGCACGACTCCAGATCCGACCCGCGGACGAATTCATAGGCGAGGTAGATGTGCTCGCCGGAGATCGAGACGCCGAGAAGCTTCACAATGCTCGTGTAGTGACTCCGGCTGATGACGGCGAGCTTCTGCAGGACGTCCGATTCGGAGACGGATTTCCGGAGCTTCCTCTGGAAGACGGCGGCGTCCTTGCCGTTGAGGGAGCAACGCCACGACTGAGAGGAGGCGGAGAGGCGCTTCGCGAGGAAGTTGTTGGTGGCGGCGCGGATCTCGGAGAAGTCGTAGATTTGGGTGCTCTCTGGGAGGGTGTCGCGAAGGCTGGACAGGGAGGCGCGGCTGGCGACGGAATTGGTGGCGACGGAGGTGTCCAGCCGGTAGGAGGAGGACGACGAGGAGGATGTGGCTGAGGAGCGGCTGCGGAACGGGTCAGAGAGAGGCGCTGGCTGCGTGTTGGACTGTGAAGAGGAAGAAGAGGATGATTTCTGTGTGTGGGAATTGGGGGTTTTTGAGGAGGGTCTGTTTGGGGCGGGTCTCGGGCTCGAATTCGTGTTACGAGCGGGCTCGGAAGCTCGGGTCGCCATTTTCGATTTACACATAACAGAGGGAGACCGGCAAAATTGGTGGGGTGGAGGGATAGAATAGCAGGAAAATGGGATTAAGGATTGATAGAGTCATAGGTAACGAATGAGGATTATGATGGATAACCGATACTGTTAGATTGGAACTTTCAAAATCCCCCAAAAAAAGCTGTTCAAAACCCGGTTTTACTTTTCACTGTATTTAATCAAAACATGTTTCACATATATTTACCAACTGGCAATAACAATATGATTGAGTTAGAGGATAATTGTACGCCGGCCTGCGTGTAGTTGAAAAGTGAATAGAATAAGTAGGAAAGAAAAAGTTTGTTGGCCATTTGATTTGGTAGGCTGGAGTAGGTGATTCCCCGTTTGTCCAACTTGCATTTACTAACAATTGGTTTTTAATATTTTTAACAACACATGTAATAACTACGCGAAAATGCATACATAAAATATGAGGCGTTTGTTTGGATATATGATAAAATAATATGCGAATACTTGTCGGTAAATTATTCATTAAATTTGGATGTGCGAGTCGTACACTACGCAAAAATACGTCGCATAACACAAAGTATGCGACATTCGATTTGAATTGCGATTACATAATGTGCGCAAGTGTTTCGCATACTTGTTAACCATACGTCCAATCTGGATATGTGAGATATAAAATATGCGAAAATGTACTGCATAATCGTAAAATATGCGGTTAATTGAGATACGTGATATTTATATATGCGAAATAAATTTTAATCAGTAAATTATGCGGTGGATTTTAATATGCGACAAATAAATGTTCGAATGTGTTTCGTATAATTGCTAACTATGCGTCTGATTTGAACAAAGTTATAGTATATATAGAGAAAAAGTCTCACATAATATGTTGTTCATTTGAATAATGCAAATCACATATAATTCGTTTGTACAATGTATTAAATTCCATGGCAATTGCTAATTTCGAATAGACATGTCAAAACGGGCCTAGGTCCGCGGGCCGCCCCGCCCCGCCCCACCTAATAGGCGAGTAGGGTTGATATTTTAAAGGTCCCCCAAAGAGCGAGCCGCGGGTTTTGGTGGGGCGGGCCAACCCGCCATTGAAAAAAGAAAATTGCTTTTGAATTTAAGTGTTTAACACAAATATACATAACACAATAGCACTTAGAGTTCAGACTTTAGCTACACAACCAGACAAACAACACGCTTTTATTTTCGTTCATTTTCCCAAGTTTTTTTTTTACAACACAATTCACAAGAATCACATCACATACGCACAAGTCTTTTTTTCCTTTGCTAAATGATAAGGATATTAGTACTGACTCGACTCAACCAGAAAAAAAACCCATGAAATTGGGGTTGAAGGGACATGGGATTGAGCCGGGGGTCGAAGAGGGCCGGAGAATCGATCGGTTCATAAGGTCGAACATGGTCCCGAGGGTCGAACACATAGACCCAATGGTCCGGAAGATCGAACACATAGACCCTTGGCCTGAAGGTAGAACACATAGACTCTTGGTCCGGAGAGTAGAACACATAGACACTTGGCCCGAAGGGTAAAACACATAGACCTCTGGCCCGGAGGGTAGAACACATAAATCGTTATCCCGGAGGGTAGAACACATAGACCTATGGCCCAGAGGGAAGAACACATAGACCCATGGCCCAGAGGGTAGAACACATAGACCTATGGCCCGAAGGGTAGAACACATAGACCCTTGGCCTGGTGGGTAGAACACATAGACCCATGGCCCGGAGTGTATAACACATAGACCCATGGCCCGGAGGGTAGAACACATAGACCTTTGGCCCCAAGGGACGAACACGTAGACCCTTGGCCCGGAGGGTCGAACACATAGACCCATGACCCGAAGAGTAGAACACATAGAGTCATTGTCCGGAGGGACGAACACATAGACTCTTGGCCCGGATGGTAGAATACATAGACACATGACTTGGAAGGTCGAACGCAAGGATCCTTGGCCCGGAGGGTCGAATACATAGACCTTTGGCCTGGAGGGTCGAACACATCTACCTTTGGTCGATATTAAGGACCGTTAAGGTCGGATCGAGTGTCGATTAAGTTACGCCCGATCAACATATGCTCGGAGACTTATGGTCCCAAAAAGTCGTAAATTTAAGCACTATATATAAGGTTAATACAACAAGAGGAAGGTAAGTTTCATTAAATACTATT